ATCGCAGTCTTTATTCCGAGGATTTTACAAGCCAGGAACCAAGTCAGACCCAGGACTTCTTAGTGGTGCACCTGTTACCAGTAATAGCCCCAGATCTAGTGGGTTGGCACGTTTGTCAGTCACCGGTAATGAGTGTTTCTTATTGTATGTGCCTTTAATTTCTGTTTCTGTGTCTGCCCTTCTAATGTTAAACATTTCTCTACAGTCCTTGCTTTTGTATGGTTCTATTCTTGGGGATCCTTGGGGATTTGGAGCGCCAGGAGTCACTCCTTAAGGGGGGGGTGGGGTACTGTCACGACACTCCTTAGTTGATTTGCCCTCTGCAGTACTCACCACTGTTTCTGTTTGGCACTGTTCCTGATTTCTTTTCATTAAGCACTTCACCTGGTCCTTGTTTAGCACCTATTTAGTTTGGTTTCTCCCCTCACTCCTTGCCAGATCATTGCCTTTTGTTTCCTGTTTTCCTGTGTTCCTGGCTCCTGCATACTGTGACTTGATCCTGTGTTCTCCTGGTCTTCATCCTGTGTCCTCCTGATCCTGCGTTACTGTGTCCTCCTGGTCCTTTGTTGCTGTGTCCTCCGATCTTGAGCTCTGGTTGCGTGGTCTCTGCTTTACTACCAGTGATCCTGTCCCTGCAGCTTTGCTCATTTATTTGACTTCTGGTCTTGCTTCTTGATGTCACTACATTAGTCTTGTGACTCTGGATCTGTGCCCTACCTGATACTCGTGGTAGCTGCACAATCCTGCCCTTATACCAAAGGACTGTTACAGTATTTGTTGCCTGCACGATTCGTGCTTATTTTGATTTACTGTATATATTTTGTGTGTGTGTGTGTGTGTGTGTGTGTGTGTGTGTATATATATATATGTGTATATATATATATATTATTATTATTATTATTATTATTATTATTATTATTATTTTATTTTATTTTATTTTTTCTCCTTTGGTTCCCTGTAAATATATATATTTCTTGATTTAACCTATTCATTTGTGTCTTGGACTTTATTTCTTTGCTATATTGGTTCCCACATTTAAAGTGACAGTGCTGTTCCAGGGCAGCACCCCTTCATGTCATTACACAAGGACTGAACCTTGGGGTACACCAACAGAGAGGAGTTTGGGAGAAGAAGCAGAGCCTGAGAAAGAAACACTGAAAGAGCGCTGGGAGAGGTAGGAGGAGCACCAGGAGAGAGCAATATCTTGTAGACCGATATTGCAGAGGATGAGAAGAAGCTGTTGATCATCAACACTGTCAAAAGCCGCAGAAAGGTCAAGGATAATTAGGATAGAGTAGTGACAAGATTTTGCAGTGAGTAGATCATTGGATACTTTGGTCAGTGTCATTTCCAAAGAGTGCTTAGCATGGAAACCGGACTGAAGTGGGTCTAGCAGAGAGTTGGACTTGAGGAAGTCTGTCAATCTCGCGTACACAACTCTTTCAAGGATCTTGGACGCAAAAGGCAGTAACGAGACAGGCCGGTAGTTGGACCGGGAGTTAGGGTCTAGGTTGGGCTTCTTTAGAATTGGGGTTACAGTTTCATGTTTGAAGGGCGATGGAAATATGCCAGAGGAGAGTGAGAGAATTTTAATGAGAGGTAGAGAAAGAGAAGACAGAGTACAGATGAGATGCGGTAATTGGATCTAGGGAGCAGGTGGTGGGGCGGGAGGACTGGAGCAGAGCAGAAACCTCTTCCACTGTAGCGGGTGCGAATGAACATGGAACAGCAGAGGGAGTGAGGTTAGGGGAAGTATTGTATGGGGAAAAAGAAAGATGAGAGATCTCTTCCCTGATTGTGGAGATCTTGTCAGTGAAGTGAGTTGCAAAGTCTGAGGCGGTCAAGTTAGTAGGTGGAGGAGGAATAATAGGGAGAAGAGAGTTAAATGTGTCAAATAGTCGTTTGGGTTCATGGGAGAGTGTGGTTATGAGGGTATTGAAGTAATTTACTTTTGCAGAGAAAAGAGCCGTGCTGTATGAGCGAAGCATAAATTTAAAGTGGAGAAGGTCAGACGCACAGTAAGAGTTTCTCCAACAGCATTCAGCAGCTCTATAGAATTTTTGGAGGTATTGAGTCAGCTTGGTGTGCCAAGGTTGTTGTTGGGGGCACTTACTGCGTTTAAATGTAGGAGGTGCCATGATGTCTAGTTGAGAGGAGAGTGTGCAATTGTAGAAGAAGGTTGCAGAGCTAGGACAGGTGAGGTTTGAGATGGGTAAAAGAAGAGTTTGGAGATTACTGGAGAAATGCTCTAGGTCAAGACATTGGAGGTTTATGTGAGATTGATGTTCAGATGGTGGTGTCAATTGGGACTTTCTTACCGCAGTATTGGGGCTTGATAGTTTTGAAATCAAGCTGTTAAATAAAGATGTATAAGGGTCAGATAGGCTTGCAATAATGCTGAGGGAGGAGGATATGTATCTAGGCACAGAGATGAAGGGATGGTTATTCAAATAAAAACAAACATATCAATTAAAGAAGGGAGGGGTCAGAGGTCAGTCAGAAATCAGAGGGGTTATAGAGGAATGCATATAGGTGACTAATAACAATTACATACAGGGCTAGCAAAACTACATTTCATCATGCCAGACAAGATATAAAGGCAATAAAATATACAATGCACACAGGATATATAAAATAAATATACAGGGTGGTTAAATTAAATATAAATTATGCTGTGCAGGATAGAGTCTTAGTGTGGTCTTCCAGAGGGCTACCTTACTTATTGCAGACGATCAGCTTATGGAGCACAGACTTTCTTACATTCATACCCGACTCTTCTCACGGACCCGAAGGGGAACCCACTTCTTCTATTCCTGGAGGGTAAGCTGACCCTGGTGGCCTGGATTCTTTCTGGGGTTCTTTGCAGATCAGTGGATTACGGCAGGCTGTTAGGGACCTCTTAGAAAACTCTTGGGCCCCAGGGACACGACAATGCTGCCTCTCCATCTGTGCATTCCCGGTCTGGTTGGTGTTTGGAATGGAACCTCGATCCATTATGTTGTGAGTTCAGACAGTTCAATGACCCGTGCTCCGGTCTGGGGACTCCCGATGGGCAAGGATCCTTTTGTGTACCAACTATCCTCTTATTTATGTCTCTCGTTGCACTGTTCGGATTCTTCATTCATTTTCTATTTCTTTCTCAGCGTTAAAATTGTAAAACACGAAGCCTCCTGTCATGTTGTAAAATTGAAGATTATACTAGCTTTAGTGTACTAATAATCTTAATTTTAGTAATGACAGGAGGCGAGTATTTTCCAACCCTGCTTTGCTATCCAACCCTTTATGTTCACTTTCTTTATATGTATTACTGGTCTAAGGTAGGTTGGGAGCTTAATGTTTTGTGTTTACATGGATGATTTTATTTCCATTGGTAAGGAATGGTCATTGGAGTTTTATATGATTTTTGTTCAGTTTTAGATTGTAGTTTACACGTTACTACTATGGAATGATGTATACTGTGTGTTACTTGTATTTCCACATGACTATGTGTCTAAACATGTCACACATTCTCTTTTCAGTTTGACGCGTCGCTGAAGACGTTTTGGTTGTTTGTGTGGAATTCACGGGAAGTTTGCTCCTACAGATGTTGGATTTAGGAGTTAGTGTTCTTGCTTGTTATATGTTTGCTTCTGATTGTCGCTTTCTGAAAGAGGAAGTTATTAGGTAATTATACCTCATGCACATCCTACTCTCTTGTGACTAGTTCTTTTTGTTTTTTTCTATGTGTTTCTTTGCTGCTGTGGAGCTAGTAAAGAGGGATTACGCAAAATACTCGCCTCCTGTCATTACTAAAATTAAGATTATCAGTACACTAAAGCTAATATAGTCTTCAATTGTTCAAGTTCTGATCAAAATCAAAACAAAACCTAGAATTTGACCATACGTTTGTTCAACCATAATTCACCTCTTTCATATTAAGTGCACCCACACTTATTATGTATAATTTTGTTCAGGATAAACAGGGCTTTCATTTCAAATTTAGATGAAACATAATTGAATATGAGTAAAAGTTTGAGAAAATAAGAAATTTTATTTTTCACGCTCTACATGATATTTTAACTGTGAATGTCATGATACTGTTACAACTTTCTGCTCTTAAACACTTATATTTGTGTTCAGCGATATCTCACAAGTACCAGTGCCACACATATACAGATTTTATAGATATTTGGAAAGTTACAGGGTCAAATATAGGGTTTTCATCGTTTCAGTTAATTTGTCAGATTGGTTTGCTGGGCCTATGTTGTCTTTGAGACTGTACGGCAGCCCATGAATGAAAATTAACCCACCAGGGCATACCATTTGCAAAAGCAGACAACCCAGGGTATTCAAAATGGGGTATTACAATCTTTTTTAGTAGTCACTTAGTCACAAACACTGGCCAAAGTTAGTGTTCATATTTATGTTTTGCATTTTTTGCATAAAAATGCCCTTTTTACCGATTATATTACCAGCACTATACATTTTACTGCACTAAAATACTCACATTTTATGTTCAGTGATGTCTCATGAGTATGAACAGTACTCCCCACGTTCAAGTTTTATAGTGTTTTGGAAAGTTACATGATTAAATATATGGCTTGGTTACATTGCCTATGAGACTGTATGAAAGCACAATAATGAGAATTATCCCCATTATGGCATACCATTGACAACTCAGAGTATTCAAAATGAGGTATGTCCAGTCCTTTTTAGTACCCACTTAGTACCCACTCAGTCACAAACAGTTAGCGTTGTTTTTTGCATTTTTCACACACAAAAAAAATGTGAAACCATGTATAAGTTTTATGGTGTCTTGGAAAGTTGCAGAGCTTCCTTAAATTATAATTAATAAAATCACATAATTATGTGAAAAGATTTCATAAATATAGATTAAGAATATAATAAATATTATATATTTTTTTAAATGATAGATGTACAGATATATATAATTCATATTTTGATATCAATTATTATTGATATTATTTTTATAAAAAAATTTATGTAGTATGCTTTGTGTATATGTGTGTGTGTGTGTGTGTGTGTGTGTGTGTATATATATATATATATATACATACATACATACACACACACACACACACACACACACGTGGATCAATCACTCACTCTCCCGGTCTTGTCCTTGCCTGGGTGCAAATCATTTATGCCAAAATATAAATATCAAGGAAGGTGCACTCACACCTGTATGATTGCACAATAAAGCTCCAAAGACCTCAATTCACAAGAGCCCAATTCATCACCCCTCCACCACTGTGCTTGACAGTTGGTATGAGGTTTTTGTGCTAATATGCTGTTGGTTTTTGCCAAATGTGGCGCTATGCATTATGACCAAACATCTCCACTATGGTCTGTCCGAAAGACATTGTTCCAGAAGTCTTGTGATTTGCTCAGATGCAACTTGTCATATTCTTTTTAGACATGCTGCCATGTTCTTTTTAGAGGAAATTAGTTGGGTTTTTTTCTGGCAACCCCTTCCAAACAAACCATACTTGTTTAGTCTTTGTCCAACTGTACTGTCATGACTTTAACATTTAACATGCTAACTGAGGCCTTTAGAGCCTGAGGTATAACTCTTTTTTTTTTTTTTATTTCTCTGAGCATTGAACAGTCTGATTTTGTGGTGAATTTGCTGGGACATTTACTCCTGGGAAGATTGGCAATGGTCTTGAATATTTTCCACTTTTGAATAATCTTTCTCACTGTAGAATGATGGACATTAAAGCGTTTGGAAATAGTCTTAAAACCCTTCACAATTTGATGGGCAGCAACAATTGCTTCTCTAAGATCATTGGTGATGTCTTTCCTCCCTGGCATTGTGTTAACACACACCTGAATGTTCCAGACCAGCAAACTGCTAAAGCTTTGGCTTTTGTATAGGCAGCTGATGATCAATTAATCAAGGGTTTTTGGTTAGCAGCACTTGTCTGCTACTTAGCCTCTTAATTCCTAAAAA